TGCACATTGGCATCTTGTGAATGTGGCATCTATGCTGCTGGTTGTTGCCACTTTCGTCATTGCTAGATCCTAGGCTCTCAGTGCATTTCACTTTCTGATATGCTACAAGTGGTATCGGAGCTAGTGCGATCAATCTTGGCAGCAACCAATCAATCGATTGATTGATTGGATTGGCGGTTTGCCACCAATCAATCTTCTATTGATTGATCAGTCAATCAGGAGATTGATCGAACAATCGATCAATCAACCAGCAATCATCTGAGATTGACTGATTGATTGATTGATTGATTGATTGATTGATTAGTTGATTGATTATTTGGCAATTTTTTAATCTTGGAAATTTCCCGGAATTAATTAATTATTTTTTCCGAGAAATTATTTCTTTTTCCGAGATTTTTTTTTTTTTTCCCGAGAAATTATTTCTTTTTCCGAGATTTTTTTTTCGAGAAATTATTACTTTTCCGAAAAATTATTTTTTCGAGAAATTGGGTTTCCGAGAATTTTTTTTCGTTCTGAGTTCTTTTTCCGAAATTTTTTTTTACCTTGTTTAATTGTTAAATGTCTGCATTTTGATAATTTTGAGATTCTTTTTCCGAAAATGTCCCTCTACACTTTCACTGCGTAGGTCTGCAAATTCCGTTCTCTTTTTTTTTTAATTTTTTTTTTTAAAAAGGGCATTTTTTTCCTTTCTGCAACCTACTCCTACTCTGAGTTGTAAAGCTACTTCTTTTCTGATTCTCTGCAGTTTGAGCACCGAAGGTTCACAATTGCTTTCTGCATCACCTTCAGCACTCAGTGGGATTGGACAGTCTTTTTTTCGATTTTGATTTATTTATTTTTTTCTTCATCAAAAATTATTATTTTTCTTTTTTTGATTAGGGAACTGTTCAATTTGGGATCTGTCCGATCCTTCCCACTTGTCTGTTGCCTACCTGTCCCTCCCCCTCTCCTGGGCACGACAGTGCATGCCACCGCTCACTCGATCACAGACCAAGGCCATGGACCGGAAGGCAGGATAATCCCTCCTGGCCTATGAGGAACGCCTGGCTGCTTTCATCCAGGAGGCCAATGATAGGGCCGCCGCCACGGCCATGGAACGCAGTCAGATTGAGCAAGAAGAGGAGGCCAAGCGACGGAAGGAGGAACAGGACCGACTTCGTCAAGAGGAGGCAGACCTGCAGGCGGCAGCCGAACACCGGTCACGCCAGYGGGAACGACTGTTCACGYGGGAGACCGTGATCGGCGATGAGGCCGCACATTGGGTGGAAGTGRCATCTGCAGACGGGGCCCCGGAGACTGAGAAAGGGCTGTCAGCCCTTGCGCAGGTCTCCCACGACCTCGTGGCCACATGCGCTCTGCAGCAGGAGGAAACCCTTCACCTGCAGCAGACGGTGGACCAGATGCTTGCACGGCTGCAGGCGTTGGAGAAACAGCCAGCTGCTGTAGCGGCCGCAGGGCCTTCCAACCTTACCACCCGTGTGCAAGTTTTGGAGGATGACGTCAGCAACATCAAGCGTGTGCATCAGGACTTCCGGACGTCGCAGCAAGCAACGAACTTGCAGTTGGAGACGCAGGTCCAGGCTGCTGCCACCGTGACGCCCGCCGCCGCATCCTCCCGGCGCCCACCCAAGCTGGATGACATTCCCGTCTTCTGCGATCAGTCCAAGACGGAACCGATCCCGTGGTGGCGCCAGTTTACTCTCAGGCTCGACATGCACCATGTCCCGAACAACGATCGACATCCGTGTTTGTACCACCGATCTGGTGGTGCATGTCAAGCATGGCTGGACAACATCTTGACCAGCCACGGCGTAGCAGTGTCGGAACTGCACACCAAGCTCACTTGGCACGAGTTGACTGACGCCTGGCACAAGCGATTCCAAGTGGAGCCGCCCGACCTGCAAGCAATGGACAAGCTCAACAAACTCCATCAGAGCACGCTGCTCAATCAGGATTGGATTACCGAGTTCCAAAGACTCGCCTCCACACCTGACCTGCCGCTCGCATTCCGCGCCATCAAGCACTTGTTTATCATGCGCTTGTGTCCAGCTCTGCAAAACGCGCTGGCGCAGATTGCAGAGACACTCGACACATCTGACAAGCTTTTCAGCACAGCGTCACGGATCATTCTCACGAATATAGAAGCCCGCAACGCCGGCCGATCTTCCGCGACGACGAGCAGCACCCAGCCCAAGCTAAAGGTGGCTTGCATTACTTCTACCGAGGCTGCAACACCAAATGAGGTTGAAGTGTTGGCAGCTGCCCGGGATGGTGGCCGGCCGCGTAACAATCACAGCCGCGACAAGACGAAGACTCAGTCCACCTCTACACTGAGCACCGGATCAGCAGCCGACGAACCTTGGGCACAATACGGACTCTCGGCGAATTCCTATCGCACGCGACTCAAGTACCGTTATTGCCTTTGGCGCAACAACGCCATCCACGATGTTGCACATTGCCCCACCAAGGGGAAACCCCGTCCGGGAAAGTAGGCGCCGCCGAGGGTGACTCGACACCTCCCTCGACGCCATCGGAAGCGGTTGTGGCCACGACCGCCCTTTCTTCCGAGGCATATGCGAATGTCGGGAGTCTTCCACTTTCGTTCGAAGACTTCGCTGCCCGGCTCGTTCCTTCACTGGATGCTTCTCAAGGACAAGATACATGTGCGGCTTTCTCACCGTCCGAAGGTTCTTCCGCCAGTTCGTCTTCATCAAGGGATTCGCCAAGCGTGTTCAATGAGGAGGCTTTGGACCCGCTCACGCCCGAGGATTTCGCTTGGGTTCCTCTCCCTACGACGGGCAACCTTCCGGGGCCGCAAAGTGCAGCCCTATGCGCCCTCTTATACGAGTATCTTTCCTTCCATCAACACCAACTTCGCCGACGGTAGACGAAGTCGCGGTGGGGGACATGCTTGGCTATGTTGCCAAGGTGGCCCGCGAGTTTGTCTCGCAACGGTACGCAGAAAACAACGCACCGTTGCTCTACGTTCGCATTCAGATTGGGCAAGCGGCCTGCAACGCTTTGCTAGATTGCGGCGCAACTCGCAACTTCATCAGCCAGTCCTTCATGACTCGGGCTGGCCTTGGCGCACAAGTACGGAGGAAGTCACATCCGACCACGGTAAGACGAAACAGATCTTAGACCGTTACATCTCGGCTGTCCCGGTGTACTTTGCACCGCACGCATGTGAACCCGTCACTTTTGACGTGTTGGACACCGACTTCGATGTCATTTTGGGGATGCCTTGGCTTTCTAGCGCGGACCACACGGTCAACTTCCATCGACGCACGCTCACGATTCGTGATGCAATTGGCGCCGAGGTCCCGTGTACTGTTCCTCCTCCTCGCTCTTTCATTCGGTGCCAAGTCGTGAGTGCCAAATCTTTTCGAGACACATGCCGTTCCGAGCATGTCGAAGAGATTGGCATCGCTTTTCTTCGAACCGTCCCAACGACTGACTCATCGTCCACGGATGTGTCTTCCGACCCCCGTGTGACCCGGTTGTTAGACGGGTTCTCGGATGTTTTTGAGACACCCTCTGGTATAGTGCCGGACCGGCCGATCTCTCACGAGATCATACTTGAGGCCGGCGCCGTGCCACCGAAGGGATGCATTTATCGCATGTCCGAGGAGGAGCTGATGGTTCTCCGTGTGCAACTCGACGATCTACTTGACAAGGGTTGGATCCGCCCTAGCAGCTCACCTTACGGTGCGCCCGTTCTCTTCGTTCGGAAGAAGAACAAGGA